GGGGGGGGGGGGGTGCTGTCTCGTGTCACCTACGGCAACGCACACACACACATAATTTCTTCTGGTACTACCGTTTCTGTTCTGCCTCCCCCCACGACTCCCCCCTCATGGGGTCCCAGATCATGGCCGTCAGTATTTTTCAACCGCACGGAGACTGACGAATTTTCATTGGTCAGCCGGTTAGCGCGGCCGATGCTCAAAACAACAACAGGGGAGGTTTCTATCGCGGTACGCTGCACGGAGAACCGTAGAAATATAAGCTGGTCACCGTCCGTACACCATGAATTCTTTGTTACCACCGACTCTTACTCGTGAAAGAGATGAACTTGTCACCGTAAGCAAAACAATAAATTTATTGCTACTCTACCACGGACTCTCATCTATGGAAGACGAGATGGACGTGCTGTGCTCCACAAAAAAAACACACACGCACACACACACGGACCTTGTGCGACGGCGTCCCGGCCTCCTCCATGGTCGGCGACATGACCTTGTTCCACACTCCCCCCCTGAAGTACTCCGGGATACCCGCACGGCACATTTTCGTCAGCTTTCGCCCCGCCACCTGCTGCCACTCCGCCGCGGCCGCGTCATCCTCGTCCGTGAACTCGTGCACCTGGAACGGGTCCAGCTTGAGCTCTGTTTTTAAATTTTATATTTTTTCGTTTCGCGAAAGAAGAGGCGAGAGGGACGGGGGGACACACACGGACCCAAGAGTTAGTAAACACGTGCACCCGGAGCGAGTTCAGCTTAAGCTCGCTCTCCTTTTCTTTTTTGTTGGGCAAAAAATGAGGCGAGAGAGAGAGGGGGGAGACCACTCAATGCAGTGTGTCTGTCATCTTCACATCAATTTCGCAACTGCTCTACGAATACATCCGTAAGCCTCGCCAAAACAAAACGCTCTACAATAGAGGACGAAAAAAAAAACTATCTTACCCTGGCAATATCTCGCATTGTCGACAAACTCGCTCGACCTCGGGTCGCCCACAAACACCTGAAACAGGATAGAAGGGCACGCACATGGGACGGGGCGGGGGGAGGAGAGGAATTATTCATTCGTCGAGAGGGCAGCAGCAGTATCGAGTGTGAGGCATCCCGTCGGTGTCGGTGCACAGACTGCCAGTTTTCGTGACGCTGTTATCAATGCATATCTAAAGGCCAGGCCATACGCACATCACGTTGCCCGTGCGCCGTAGATGGAGACCACCGTAATGTATAGCGGCGGCTCGAGCACGGTCCAGAAAATATTAGACAAGGTCTATTTTCGTAGGACATAATATCGATTATTGTTTCTACTGGCCAATCCTCAACATGATGTTGGCCAATGGGAGTCCTAGTGGGACGTTTGGGACATGTCCCGGTGACAAAATGACGCGTTTTGGAAATGGTACATAGGTTAGGAGAGGAAGAGAAGGAGGCACCCCGGAAATTCAACGCCGGTCTATACTCCGCCAAAGAGCCCGTGCCCCACGGCCGAGTACAGCGGAAGCAGAACCGATGCGTTTTTCAGGCAACCCTACTGAGGATGCATACGACGACGCAGAATACGCGAGCAAGGCGGCAGATAGGAGAACTGCGTCTGGTGGGATGATCGATGATGTGTGGGGATAGGGCGTGTGCCTCTGGATTCTTCGAGGATACAGAACTGCTGTTTTGTTTGTTTGTTTTTCTCCCATCATTGGAATCTGTCGTCTGGCCCTCTGGCCCCTATCCTCCACTTCTACCAGCTAGACGACCCAACCGGGGTCACATAGGAGGGGGGGGTTGGACCCCCTCCTGCGGTTCCTGCCTGAGATATTTTTATCGCGAGAAGGGTACAGCAATCCCTTCCCTCGCGAGTTAAGAAGTCGATCAAGTTAACTAACAACGAGCTTTGCAGCGCATCGCTTCCAACGGAGGCCAGGATTTAATTAACGAGAAAAAACTCACTCTGTCGGGACTCGAACCCATGACCTGGCCCTTAGCAAGCTGCGAGGCTACCCACTAGACCACCGGGGCGACTGGTGTATGTGCAGTGTGTGACGCTGGCTACTACAGCAGAGACAACCGCACGCGTGCGCCTTGTGGATGAACTCTCTCCAGGAGGTGTATCTGCAGGCTTGCTTGCTTCGTCAACCTACAACTAACGCTTGAAAAACCTGCTCCACAACTAGAAGACCGCCTAAGGCTGAAACATCGCCACCAATGTGTTCAGAGATAGAAAAAGCACGCCCCCATTCCATGGAACGGTCCTGACAGTCCCGCCTTCAGATTCAGAACTTTCAACTTTGGAGGCGATTGTTTCAAAACCTTTTCTCGCTCTCAGGAATATTTCAGAAGGACCTCCTCTGCGACCAGGCAGAAAGCGCTGGTCCCACCCTAGACACAATACTAACCAATGAAATGGCTACCGGCCCATCAATTTGGCCACAAGCCCATCAATTTGGCTACAGGCCCATCTATACGGCTATATGGCCAGAGGCTCATCTGTATGGCTAGAGGCACATTGACACTGCTATATGGCTACAGGCCCATCGATATCATCCCAGAGCTACAGGCAGGAGGAGTGTTCGCCCTGTACGGGGAGAATCACCGATTTGACCTGACTGAGAACACCACAACAGTGCGAGAGAAGCAGCCAGAATGGCCAAGGGATCAAGGTACACTGCTGCTGCTGCTGCTGCTGCTGCTGCTGCAGATGGACAGGAAGGCAGGCAGGCAGGCAGGCAGGCAGGCAGGCAGGCAGGCACACAGTAGCCACATACAAACACCCTTGTCGCGGCAGCAGTACTTCCACGCTAGCGTCTATTATTTCGTGGCAAGGCGCCTTTCTTTCGTGGCCCTGGCCTTGTGTGAGGCAACAGGGTGCAAGATCTCTCCTGCCCCTCGACCAGGTGCTGCCTCACTATCAGCAAAACAAAAAGACAGGCGCATGAGAAAGTACCCGGGCGCTTGAGGGGCCTGTCTGACACACAGCATCGAAGTTTCAGATTCGAAGAGTCGGCCATCGGATAAGCGAAGACAAACTAAACACATGCCGGTCTCGAGATGGCACCCGGACGCTGTCTGTCACACAGCATCCAAAGTTTTAGGTTCTCAGAGTCTGCCTTCATCGAGATACCAGTTGGGCGATGTCTGCGGAAGTGCCGAACAAACCAGCGGTCGCTGCGAGTCCGTTAGATCTGAGACTTTCTGGCATTCTGGACTGGTTCCAGGAACGCTGCTAAAAACCTGAAACTTGATGTACATTTCTACAAGCGAAGAAGCCCGCGCCAACGTCCGAAAGTGCTGTTTACTTGTGCTCGATAAGTAGTTGTTAGCCGGCAACTACCAACTACTGCTGCTGTACCCCGTAGTTGCGGCAGCGGTATACAGCCTAGCCCATAGGCGGTTGCATGCATGCATGGTCAGTGGCGCGTTGTGTGTGGTACATGCTTTTACGTTTGTTTCATGTTTTTTTCTTAGGAGGCTGAGGGGCAGGGTAGATGGATGGCTACACTTTTGCCTCCTGCACTTGGAGCGAAAGGCACGCCGGTAGTAGTCTCCAACACGCACGGACGTCAGTTGGAAACCTGGTCCATATGCATTCTACTAGAAGTATATTTCTCGTGCTATCATGTGGATGCGTTCTGCGCGTGTGTTGTACAGCGAGAGCAAGGCTTGAAGTAGTTGCACCAAAGAGTGCGAGCACCGATTTGCTGTTTGCTCGCGTGCTCTGCGGACTAATTTTTCTCAAGTGCTGAACCGAGTAATGCCGCGTGCTCGGAGCGTAGTAACTCCTGAACGCATGCATATGTAGATGACGTCACACACACCGTCCCGGACAAAGCGCTATCTGTGTTTTAAACATCACAGCGGAAGGACTAGACTACCGCTGCAAGCTCCTTCATTAGTCTAAATACATACCAGGAGTACATAATATAATAGTATTTGTATGGACTTTGGGTATTTGGTTATTTTTCCCCCAAACGACGGATGCAACATACCCCGCATCCAAGGGCGCTTGCTTTATCCGGGAACCGCACAAAAGGCGTGCGCAAAAGCGCTGAGCATCAACCTCCCTGACTCTCCCTCTAACCTGATGGCCGACATAACTACAGCAGCGTAATGCGGTCAATCTTTCTTCACGGAGACACCCGAACACTTGTTCAATGGGAAGGTGAAACTTAAACTTTCACTTCTCTCTCCGTACCGCCTGGTCTAGTCGAAGTTCTCACCTCAAGCACCGTGACTCCCAGCCCAGAAGTCATTGCAGGCGCAGCGATCTTGGTTTGCTTGCTTCGGGGTGGCGCCTCTGTCGCTGGATGCCACGCACAGCCAGGTGGGTGCTGGCTTCGAGCACACCGCGCACGAACAGTGATGCGCAGCAGCTGCAGCAGCAGCAGTCAGCACAACGCCAGAGCAAGCTGCAGGGAGGGGAAAATAGCAGGACAGCAGGAATGCCTCCTTGTGCCGGCGGCCGGCTCTTGCTTGCCACACAGCCTGTGGTATCGCTCGATTGCTGCGCTCCTCCGTTGCAAGCGGTGATGTGGGCGCCGCCGCCGCGACCGCCGACTACACAACCTATTCGGGGCGCCGTGTATCAGTACCTGTGGTCATCCCCCCCTGCCTGCTTCGACGGACAAGCACTTGCCGCAGCCGTGTCCTGGCACACAGCTACTCGGCACCTATAACACCCGCCGCGGAAGAACTACTATGGCAGATCCGGTGAACGGCGCTGCTGTCGTCGATGAAATGGAGGAGGAGCAAGATAATCCTACGGGCGGGGTGACTTACCTGTGCGGAGGTCAGTTCGCCGCTCGAGCCCACCAAGAAACAACAAGTCATATGTGACCAGCAAAGCCGCAGTACCACCAGCTGGCACATTGATGCGGCTTGTCCTCGCACACTGAGCGTGTGCTTGGGAAAATAACCTTGTGGCGAGCGTGGGGTTCATTGACACCCTTCCCAGAGCCTCGCGTTTCTCGCAGAGACATAGGGGCTGGTGGCGTGTTCCCTCGAGCACAATCATCAACTCCGATGAATCGTACAGCAGTTTCTGCTGTAGCCACATCTCCGGAGATCGGCAACTGGGAGCAAGAGAGCGACAGAGAGATAAGCAAGGAAATAAGCATTCACGGGCAATTATCCTATTTCTGGTGTGTACAAATATTTTGAGCCGCGATTGCTCGCACTTGCGCGTGTCTCGTTGGGGTCCGGTGGTTGTCATCTGGCGCAAGCGGAAACAAACATGTGCCAGGCACCCCTTCCTCCCTGGTCCGCAGCCACACTACTTGGTGGAGTTGTGTACAGCATTGTGACCAGAGACATCTTATTTTCCTAGTTTCATAGTGCTGGACACGGAGCACTGTAGTAAATGGTGTTGTGCTGTTGTCTTCAGATAAACAAGCCGATCTGATAACGTTCCCCCCAGTTCCTCGTCTTCCGTAAACTACTCCAACTACGACAAGAAAAATCAGCCTGTGATATGTACTCTGTGGCCATGTAGCCGTCTCATCAAGAGTTCCACATGAGTGGAAGCCAGGTATTACTCGCAGAAGCCGGCATTTACTCCGAGGATTCAATTCAAGTCCAAAGCGGGGTACGTGCTGCACACGCACACTTCCCGGCAAGCGCGTGGTGCTCGGGCCGCCCGGAGTAACGGGACGCAAGTCTCACCCAACATTCCGTAGATCTCTGTTCTCTAGGTAGCTTATGCCACCGCTGCCGACAGCGGCAGGGGTGGGTCTTAGGTGTGGGAGAGCTGATGTCGTCGACGAAGGCCTCCATCCATTACACCTTTCAGTGCCTACCACGAACAGCCCGGTCTTGACGGAGTCCGATCGGTCACGGCTTTTGGCCCTCTCGGCACTCACTCCCTTACCACGTGTAGCGTTATCGACATGAAGAATACGCTCCCTTTTGGCTCATAAGTCTCATGCTCGAGCTGAGGCGTCCACAGTCAGGGAACTACGCAAGTTGAGGCATTAAATCTTGCACACATTAAAGCATTTAAAAGACGTGCCAGGGTGAAGAAGCGATCAGCAATGGTACAATATGGTATATGTAACATTTACAGCAGTAGCTGTGGCGTTCTTAGAGCCTGTTGTGGCAAACGGAATCCGCTGAACGCTATCGTGTCGCGCCGTATCGATCGAGGCAAAATGTTGTTGAGAGTCTCGGTACGAACAAGAGCGTCGTGCGCGGATGTGAAGGCGAGCCATTTAGGGAAAGCTTGCATGTGAGGTTCGCCCAAAGGTGTTCGGAGGTACAAAGTACGCGATATGGCGCGCGTCAATGTCGTTGTCTTTCATCAGACGATATAGATGGCGTTGCGATGCCGCAATCTCGTAGTTGTGGCCTCTCATGGTAGACTCTTGGCTGGGCTCGGTTGGGGGTGCTCGCAGCAAGAGATGCAATGACCAATGGTCAAAATAGGACCCCCCGCCCAAGAGCGCGCTCCGGTTGTCTACGCACTTGGTCGCGTTTGTTGTATTATTCACCTGCTGAACATACATACGTGTCCCGCAACAACCCATCGACCAATCATGTGACAGATTGCGGGTCGGACAACCTGATCAAGGCGAAGGACCCAATCCAGTGCCGACAGTGTGGCTACCGCATCATGTACAAGAAACGAACCAAGCGATGTGAGCAGCGACGAAAGCACACCGCCGGTGCATGCGTGGAAGCGTACGCGTGCAGCAGTGACCAGCCCGAGCGGCGGATGCGGAGAAGGGAAAGAGAGCGAGACAGAACGAGACAGCTTCCTCAGAACAATGGGTTTATTAGAAACGGGAGGGAAAGACAGGAGAGGACGATAGGTGGGAGTCAGAGAGCGGCTCTCGCTAGTGCGAGGTGGCGTTTGTACCATCGTGCAACGTGACAGCGGTAAGTACGTGATATTCTGATCGTCTGCCCCCCCCCCCCCCCCCCCCCCCCCCCCCCCCCCCCCCCCCCCCCCCCCC